ATATATATATAAATTTCTAGAAAGAGACCTTGGAAATCTTTAGGGACATCCCCCACTCCATCCCTAGCCCCAAACCCTCTCTAACCTAGGTGTCCCCACCACTCCTAGTGCCCCAGTGCAGAACACGCGGCCCCTATCATTCTGAGGAATTTCCCTCCACAAACTTCGTATTAATCCTCAAATCTTCTATTGACACAAAACAAATTACAATACTCTTTTAAAGAAGTAAGAGCACACAAGGGGACACCAAAAGAATCACACTGAAACGAGAAAATGTTTATAAAGATTCTAACAGCTTTTATTACAATGCTGCAAGGAGTATTTCATCCAACACTCACCAACAACACACCGTCATCTTCTATAAAACAGTTCCAGAAAGTTCCAACAGAAGAAACGGAAAGGTAGCATTATCCGCAGTAATTCTCATACAGCACCGCTCCGTGCCCACACCCACATCACTCCCATAAAGTGCGGTCGTTCTCTTGCAGACACGTGGCCAAAGTGTGCGGTTGTATTTTGTTCGCCTACGGACGTCGGACATGCCTCACGATTAAGAACTGCACTACAGCACTCCATGACACCGACATCTATTCGTGCTTAGAATCAGCCAGATGTACTAAATACCATAAAATACAAAATGATAGGAAATATAAACATCGATTTGTATTTCAAGTTTATAACATTTTATTTACAAAAATAGGCGGGAGGGAAGGGGCTGACACCCCACATTCTTTCCCAGGAAGGGAGCAGGGGAGCTACTCTGCACCGTTTTCTAGCGGGCTTTTCCCTAACCACGGAAAGTCGTATTTGAACTCCTCCAGAACTGCACCTGTCACCTAGAAGCTCGGGGGAGGGGGTAGACGGGGGCGGGAGGGCGACGGAGAAGGCGGAGAAGGCGTAGGCGGCCCCAGTCAGCAGGAGAGGGGATGGCTTTGACTGGACGACTGCGCAGGGCCTCATGCACTGGGCGGTGGAGCTGGCTGCTGGCGGCGACGCCAGCGTCGCTATGTACAGACTGCAGTCTTCTCTGGGTTCGAAGGACACTTGTTCCCCACACGCCGTGGTCGAGCGACGACCCCAAGGCAGACCCTAAGACATGACTCCGAAGACAGGGTTGTGGCGGCAAATGCTGGGGCCATACTCCTCGTAGTCCTTCTTGGTGTGACAGACCTGGAAGAACTCCGGCTGCCGGGGCGACAGCGGGAGGAGCACACGATGACTGCAGGGTGGAGGCACCGAGCCCTAACTAAGCAGGTGAGAGGCTCTCCTAACCCAGACCTCCCTCCCTCCAGACCACTGTGTAAGCCTGCCCTCCACGGTACTCAACTACCCGTGGGAGTTGAGTTCATTTTCAATTTTTTATTCTGCCTCTACAGGAGGGTGATAGAGAGAGGTTGTCTTTAAAAAAACATTTGTGGATAATGTGTATTATGAAAAAATCATGCATGGATTTCAAAAAAAATTTGCACCAAAACAAACTCATAATTTAATTCCATTTCCAAGTACTTTTAAAAGTCCCTTCACATTTATTTAGGACCAACCATGTCCTAATAACACATTACCCATTAACAAACTGGAAGGAAAAAATAACAGCCACTTGGAAAAGTCATTGGAGGTCATGATTAATCAAAGATATTTTTAGATCGTTTTTGGATTTCTTTTACATGTTATCTATAACCTCTAATTAGCAACGATACCAGTAAGTTAGCCATGCAATTTAAATGATAGTTAAAATGTCTTTATATCCTACAGAATTAAATGTGTGTGTGTTCGGAGCTACACAGTTAGAACATACACTACTTAACCTTGACAGACAGTATTTATGCAAACGCGCCAGAGGGTGCAGAAATGAAAACACGGAACAATCTGGAAGGGACTTACAGTCGAGGCCAGCATGGAGCCTCCGAACCACACGGCGTAGCGCTGCATATGGTGAGTGATCACCTGGACTTCCACGGGCTTAGGCTGGAAAGGAAAGGACTTCAGGTTTGACCCAAGCAGCACAAAGAAGAGCTCGATTACCTAGCAGCTGGCAAGACGACAGCTTCCTCCTGGGCTTCCGTCCTCCTCGGGGCCGGGGCCTTCCTGCCAGTGGAGCACCCAGAGCGGGCAGCTTCCGTGCGGACGCCCAGCTCCTGCTGCCAGGTGCCCCTGCCCCGTCAGCCTGGGGGTCAGAGGAGGAGCAGAGCAGGTACACAGACTGGAAGTAGCTCTTACAAGCCCAAAAGTAAAAAAATCCAAGCAACAAGGAATTATTTTTTGAGCAAACCAATCAGATGTTTCAGCAGTGCAGAGACAATCCATATAATACCAGCCACCCCCAAACACTAAAAGAAACTGCACTTTTCCAAGAGTGGACCCCACTGCAGTGGGCACCCCTCTTCCCACCTACCCTACCAGAGCCCAATCTTGGTAGAAGCCCAGATAAAATCAGCAGCTACTTAAGAATCCGTGGGAGGAATGTCCTGTAAGCCCCTGCTAATGAGAACACGTTGAAACGTCATTGAGGTGCCCGCCATGCACCAGCCCCACCTCCTCAGGACCCTGGTCCTCACGCTACACGCTTCATCTCTGACAGCACGAGACACTCTGGCAAGGGCGCCAGCGCTGCTGAGGCCGCCCGGCTGGGTGCCTCCATCCGCCCACGACCATGGGCTGGGAGTAAGTTCAGGCAGCCAAACCCAGCAGCCATGGAGGCAGAGTGGTCGCGGCGGGCGCTGGGCGGCTCCGTCTCCTACCTTTATTCGGCCGCCGCTGAGCTCCTCGCTAAGCCTTAATCGCGCATCCACCACTCTCTTTAAATCCCTCTGTAGCCGGCGTCCGAAATCCCTGAACATGGTTGAGCCTCCTGAGAGAACGACATTCTGGAAGACACAGAGGGCCTTGGATGTGGTCACAGCTGCAGTGCGCTCAGCCTGCCCACTGCCAGCGCCACACTGCCCCTTGGCGAGAGCCGACCTGGAGCACAGCTAAGGCTTCAGAGAGGCAGAGCGCCCCAGGGTCTCCCGCCAGGCAAGGAGGCATAGTTTTCAGTAACAATGTGACAGAAACTCCCTCACTCTACCCAAGGGGAGATGAAGCAGCACCTCCATGAGGATGGCGGAGCCAGAACCGCTGGGTGAACTCACCAACTCGCTGGGCCGAACGAGGGCCCTGCCCTGGGAGGCTCCACCTCACTGCTAGGTTGTACAAGCCCATGCATTTTAAATCACTAGACCTAGGTTCAAAGTCATCTTTATTAAACAAAATAGGAACCACTACAATCAACACATTTTGCCAGTGAGAAAAAAAATGGGTTTATTCCTTTAGGGTAAAAATCTGTGCTTTGCGATTTGATGAAGGCTTGGACAGCATCTTCTGCATCCAGATGGCTGTGGAAGTGTTTTCCCTGCAAAAAGCTGTCGAGATGCTTGAAGTGCCAGTCGGCCGGCGAGAGGGCGGTTGAATGTGGCCGATGAGGGACTTCGCAGCCCAGTTCCTCCAACTCCTGAAGCACTGGCGGTGCAGCGTGTGGGCGGCCGTTGCTGTGGAGGACAACAGGGCTGCTCCTGTTGACTGGCGCCGGTTGCAGGGTCGCGGTGCTCGGCGCATCTCACCAGCTTGCTGGGCATGCTTCTCAGGTGCAGGGGTTTCACCAGGACTCAGAAAGCTATAGGGTCAGACCCCCAGGGACCGTGACCTTTCACTGGTGCCGGTTTGGCGGTGGGAAGTGCTATGGAGTGTCTTCCCTGTCCAACCCCGAGCCGGTCCTCTGCGGCTGCCATAAAGAATCCACTCTTTGGCACAAGTCACAATCCGAAGGAAAAATGGCTCATTTTTGCATAGAATAAGAGAGAAATGACACCTCGAAATGAGCTTTTTTTCAATTTATTTATTAATTTTGTTTTAATTTGATCAGGGAAGGGCAGAATGAGAGAGAGAGAGAGCAAGAGAGAGAGAGAGGAGAAAGGAGAGAAAGAGAGAGAGAGAATTTATTTCCTGGGGAGAAGGTCATGCCATTATTCCTTCTCCTCCATTCTGCTCTTGGGATTATTGAACATGCAGAGCAATGGTTGTTAGTTTTCAGTCAGCCTATAAAGCACCCACTTATCAAGCTTTTTCACCTTTCCAATGTGCTTCACATGCCAATCATAAGATGGTCAACGCTGCGTTTTCGGCAACTTCTCATGCAGCTAGCTGCAAAAGGATCAGCGTGGATGACTGCTCTCAGATGGTCCTCGTCGACTTCCGATGACGGCCAGTACCTCCTCATCTTCAAGGCTCCCGGCTGCTTGGCACAACTTGAACCACCACACAGCCCATCCCTTAGCAGTTCCTGGGCCAAATGCGCTGGCGATGTTACAAGTTGTCTGCACTGCTTTATGACATGTTCAGAACTCAAATAAAATCACTGAGTTTGCTTTTCTCGTAGTATCATTTCCACAGTCTAAAATACATATAAAACAGCAAGTGATCGGTCATTCATAACAAAGGTGAGAAGTGCACATTAAAATGGTGTATAACCACATTTACTAAATCTAATATCGAATAGCGAATTTCAACAAGTGAAACTTTTGTACCAACCTAATAATCCTGAGGGAAAGCCTTCCCATCACTATGTGAACCTTTCAGGAAGGTGCGACAGGAGCTGACGTTACAGGTGACCTGAGGCCACTGGCCCCCCACGCCGCAGATCGCTGGGATCTACCTCCTAGGTGGCCATGGCAGGTCTGGAGGGGACCTGAACGCCAGTCGGAGTCTGAGAAAGATCGCAACTCATACTCCTTTTCAGGCTACAGGATATTATCATGGACAATGACAGTGAAATTACAAATATCCGGATTTAACTCTCTTACAGGAAGTACCATCAAGACAACTGTATTTAAAGGAAAATAAACTGACCCTTGGGAGAACCCAACAGCCCCACTCTGAGGCCTCCAGCAGCACCACGTGAGCCGCATCCTGCTCCTCCGGGCACAGAGCGGCCCCGGACACTTACAGGCAGGTGCCCTCTGGGTGGCTGTGTCTGCAGCAGATCCCTAACAGCCTACAGGCCAGCAAGGTCACAGCAACCAGGGTGGGACACTCATGCTGTCTCCAGCAGCGCAGGGTACACCTCCCGCTCACTGCAGCCCAGCACTGGCGGGAAGGGCCGTTCTCTCTCTCTCACGCTCAGTCCTAGGCCCGGGGACGCGGGAATGGACAGGTCAGATGGGGCAGAGAGAGCAGGGCCACAGAAGCCCCCAGTGACCACTCTCCTGCCTATGAACCCCTCTTTTTTTTTTTTTTAAACAAATACCATTTTATTATTTACAAAATGCATGGCGATCCTAAGAGTACATGTTACATGTTACAAATTACGAAAGGAAAAAAACACAGGGAAAAGTAGAGACAAATAACTTAAACAATGAGGTGCGCATTCGTATGGAGTCTATTTAAAATAACAATTCTTTCTTAAAGTTAGGCCAACCTAAGAGTAGGTACACCGCGACCCCCTTATTCCACTCAGAGCCTAGAGACACTGCCCCTCAATAACCCACCAACAGATTGTGATCATCTAAACCTACTGCTGGCTTCAAAGGACAGTCTGAGGTGAAGGCTTCCACCAGCCAGGCAGGGCCGCCCCGGGAGAACCACGGACAAGCAGAACCACGGACAAGTGGCCACTGTGGGCTTGCTACATTGCGCAAGCACTTTTTTTTTTTTTAACCACCTTCAAGAATTTCAAATTGAATGCATTTTTGTTTTTCATTTTTAAATTTATTTCTTCCATGAGCAAGAGCAGCAAACACAGAGAGAAGACAGAGACAGCACCCCACAGTGCTGAGGGTCTGAGGCCACAGTCCAGCCCCAGCCCACAGGCTCATGTACACCTGACTGCTCTAGGTAGCCTCTGGACTGAACCTGCAACCCAGCCCCCTGAATCTGGAGCTTCAAATGTGAAAAAATGTAAGAATGAAACTTTAAAACATACTGCTTGTCACTCTAAGTCTATATTTTAAAACATTAATATTTGAATCTTATGAAAGCATTAATTTCAGATTTTTTTCTTAAAAGGAATTTGTTTTCTACATTACAAAAGTAAAGTAAAAATCACTGTGTGTCTAAATCTTTACTTTCACTAATCGTTTGTAAGAATAGCCCCAAATGCCTAGAAAGGCAGCGGTGAGCCAGAGCACGGCCGACTACAGTCTCAGGGCTGGGTGTGGAAGGCAGCAGCCCTGTAGAGCCTGCAGCTGTCCCTCAGGTGGCCTGTCCTCCACCATGGACTCCCTAGTGGCTCCTTAGAAGGAGCAAGTCATTCCAGGAGAGTGTCCACCCCAAGGGAACTAGAAGGCATGGTTACAGCTCAGACTCGAGTGGGCTGACAGGCTTCTGTGTCTTGTCCCCCGGGAAACACTACCTCCTCTCTGTGAGATGTCACCGGAGCTCAAACGCCAGCTCAGCATAGACCAGGGCTCCACACGGCTTACACTCAGTCCAGGTCAACACAGTTAGTGTAGTCCTAAAGACAGCAAACCTTAAAACGAGGCAACACAACAAAACCTGAAGAAAATACTGGCATGACTATTGGCAAGGGTCGGGATCAAGAAGATTCTGAAAAAGTTAAAGAATTCAGAAAGTCATATCATGAACTCAGAAAAACAGCAAATGATAAGGGTGTGGATAGAGAGACCCAGCCAAGGTGGAACAGGCAGTGGAACATTGCTACGTGAGGCTGGAGTCACAGTGGAGGCCCAAGTTCGGATCCCGGGCCAGCCCTAGCAGGCCAGGCATGGTGGAACTGAGACGCTGGGGCGGATGACTGCAAATGCAAGACCCTGCAGGACCGCTGCTCTCTCCCATGTGCCTCTGCATCCCATGTGTGCTCACATGCCTGTGCATGCTCTTTCTCCCTCACTTGTGTGTGTGCATGCATTCTTTCTACCTACCTCACTCCCATAAAGGAGAGACAGTAAAACGCTAACTTAGGGGTGGTCTGCTTACAGTAAAATTAACTTCCACCAGATGTACTGTGTGCAAATGCGTATATAAACTTCACAGCAATGACAAGATGAAGAAAGCAGTCCTTAAACTGACTCAACTAAGATACTGAACTGGCAAGTCATGATAAGTGGACAAGGTGGCTCACATTAACACAGCAAGAGGGGCTGGGTCTTCCTGAACGCGGTAAGAGGACAAGATGCTTCCCACAGATCACGGCAAATAGAATAGATTTCATGGACTTCAGTGAGGGGACGGGACGGCGCCCACTGGCCGCAGTGAGGGGATGGGACAGCGCCCACTGGCCTCGGTGACAGGACGGGACGGTGCCCACTGGCCGTGGTGAGGGGACAGGATGGCACCCACTGGCCTCAGTGAGGGGACGGGATGGCGCCAACTGGTCTCGGTGACGGGACGCGACGGCGCCCACTGGCCTCGGTGACAGGATGGATGGCACCCACTGGCCTCGGTGAGGGGACGGGATGGCGCCCACTGGCCGCAGAGAGGGGACAGGACGGCACCCACTGGCCTCCGTGAGGGGACGGGACGGCACCCACTGTCCTCGGTGAGGGGACAGGACAGCGCCCACTGGCCTTGGTGACGGGACGGGATGGCGCCCACTGGCCTCGGTGAGGGGATGGGATGGCATCCACTGGCCTCGGTGAGGGGATGGGACAGCGCCCACTGGCCTCGGTGACAGGGCTGGGTGGCGCCCACTGGCCTCAGTGACAGGATGGATGGCACCCACTGGCCTCAGTGAGGGGACGGGATGGCATCCACTGGCCTCAGTGAGGGGATGGGATGGCGCCCACTAACCAGGTCAACTAAGCACTATCTTAGAGCCTACCTGTACTACTTTCCCTAAATCCTCCCAGATTTCTGTCCTAGAAACAGATCTGCT